CGTGCTGTAGACGATAGAATTACCGCATGTTGTACTGTGTATAAAATGTGGAAGTTTGGCGTTTATAAAACGATCCAGAGCGAATTCTCGCAATCTGAAAGGTGACACAATACAGAATTTTTTTAAAAGCACGATCAGAAGGATGTATATTGGAAATGTTTTGCCGACTAGGTATGAAGAAGATTGTTTGTGACAACTGTTTCTGTGAGTAGAGCACAGGGCTTTCCCTTTGATCGTTAAATTCAGGAAGCTTTGCATTCCGGTTCCATAATCACGCCTTGAATGATCAGAGCAGATTAACGAAGATCCGTACTTGATAACTTGTAGCAAAATTTAGCTTCGCGACATCCGATGCCGGATTCCACACTTCGATTTGCTTTCTGCAACACAACTTGGTCGCGGAACGCGAAAGCCACTTTGAGAAAGTTCATTCACTGTCTGAGCCCCTATTCGAGGACTGCACAATTCAGAGATCGGTAAAAGAAAATCCTGCATCCGCCAGCATAAAGCATCCCCGCAAAGCTGTGTATCAAGTTGACCGGTCAGTAAAAATATGCTTGCGCAACCAAAGTGCCCAGCTTCCAGCGTCAAGCGAGGTCCGTTCAAACACAATAACCATGCTCAGTATGACACAAGCACTGATTACAAATTGTCTTCTTGAGCACTGTTTAGATACACCTAACATTTTGCCATTGTTCCTGCTATTTATTTCACGGTGTATAAACTGATTCATTTTATATTGGCGACCGATAAGAGTCAATTTAATGTATGGACTTTGCAATATAAAGTCTTCTCTGTCTCATTTGTTGAATAAAGGAGGTGGAGAGGTTTCAGATCTTCCGATTCGGCAATGAGCAACAGTTACATGCTTTCCGGACAAAAATGATTTTAATCTCAGCTTATGTCCGGAACACGGTCATTCACGTGTTAGGCTTACGACCACCTGGTTGGAATATGGATGGGAACTAACTTTTAGTCATTTGAAGTCACCTTACTTGCTTCAATTTTCACTATAAAATAAGCTTTGCGAGAAAGATAACTTGAAGACAAATCGTTAGAGGATTGACGTGTGTTGTTGTTATTCTTTTCCTAATATTTTGACTTTTATGCTCCGAGATTCAGACATACCGTATGATATTCCATCAGAGCATGAATTACCTGAAGCGAATAACGTTGACGCAGAGCCGCTCCCCGATTGAGTACAGCCTCCTTCACCGCCTTCCAATCTTCTTCCATCTCATTCAATCGTTGTGTCAGTGTCACTCGGCCAACTTCATCCATGCCCCGAGCCAGTGCATGCCCGGCAGATAGCAAATCACTGACCTGTGGCTCGTAGTTCTCGATCTCTTGCATGTGACGATCTTGGGAAAGTAACCTTCGTTCTGTTTCCTGCATTGAAAATATACATAGCACACAAACCGGTAATACGTTTCTGTCAACAGAAAAATCGTTGCTAGTCAGAAGAGGTTAGACAACTTCATCAGGATACAAATCTCAAAACATCAGACCTGAAAATAAGAATTAAGCATGATTGGAAGCATTCGTATCTAGCCATCAGAAAAGCCTAAGTGAAAGGGGAAACGGAATTCTAAGTGCGATGATGTATTGGTGGACTGAGTTTCTGACTGATAACCCAAGGGTGAAATATATTGCCTGATGTAAACTAAATTCGAGTAACGAACTAAATCATGCCAGGCGTAGGGGAACAACACCGATTGAATTACATCATCAGTGTTAATGTGCATCGCACGTTTATATTTTACCGGAGAGATTTGGTCTTTAAGATCCTCATTGGGGTCGAAGATTGCGTACTGAAGATGGTGAAGATGGCGACGATACTACCTTGAAGAGAGAAGAGAATACCGTACATGGTGCCGATGAACAATTATTGTAGGCCTTCCATCCATTCCCTTGTAGCTTATGAGTGTAGATCTAACCACTGCCATTCAGCTTTCTCGGTTTCGTTGCAGCCTTTTATGGGCTGTCGCACTTTTCTATATTAAGGGAATCTTAGTTGAATATCGAAAAATCCGAAGCAAAAGATTATTACATGTGATACTATGTTCTTGGTCTAGGTATCTTTCTGCTTATGCACTGAGGTTCTGATATCAGTGACTAAGTCCCGTACTTTGGCTATGGGTGGGTCAGCATTATGCTTTTGAACAGCTCTTGAAGGGATACATGTTTGTAGCTGTGCCAGAAGCACACTAACATAACACAGTTTGCTCAACACGAACATCATACAGCAGGCAATAGTTTTCATAATATTTATAAAGAAGTTGGTTTGGTCTTCTATATTAGAACTGAGCGTAACGCACTATTTTGTGTAATAAATTCATTCTTTTACGAATTCGAAGTTACGGGCATAATTATATGAAACAATAGCACCTTCCCAAAGAATTATCCTTAAATTTCATACCAATGATCATATGACATTCTTAGTCAAAAAATGTAAAATCAAATTTTTAAAGGTAAGCTGAAAAAACAGTTAACACGCAGATCAACAGAAATGTTCAACTTCAAATTCATTGGTAATTGGCTTTTATTTCGGGCAGGCAGACGTGTGCAAAGAAAGTGCGTTTTGTCCTAGGATTGATTTCCATTTAACTGGCATCAAAACTCATGCTGAATGCATCGTTGATCGCGTCAGTGCGTTACTAGTATGCACTGGTTTATGTATGCATACTGCCCACACTCTCTGGCTGTTTCTAGAGAAGGAAAATACTTAAGCAAGTCGGTAAGCCTTTAGATATCACGCTTATTGACTAAAGTTACAACTTATCTTCGGAGGGTTCATCCTGGGAGAAGCAGTATCTATGTTCCATTATTTATCCTACCGATTTCGCAACTTAGATTTCAGCCAGCTGTGTAGAAGCTATCATAATGATCTTACCTGTAAGTCGTTTGGACATTCTCCAGAGAGCAGTTGTGTCTTGAGTTCATCCAGCCACGCCTGAAACGTGTCTAGTTTGTCCATGGTGGTGGGATCCAAACCGCTTAGAGTGAGCAATCCTGTGGATCGCTTTTTCACCGCGTCCTGCAAATCGTTCCATTGTTTGACCAAGTCCAAATGACGCCGTAACAAGAAATCACGCGATAATGGAGTGGGCAAATCAGAACTGGGGGGCTTATTCATTTCATCCTCTTGTTGGCCCCGTCTTACAGCACCGGTAACCCGTGATCCAATATCCTCAACACATGCCTCTATCGCTTTCAAATCACCCTGCAAAATACGGAGCTGAATTTGGCATTGATTAGTCGCAGATGGACCAGCCACCGAGAGGTTATCAATAGATCGAATTGTATCTTCTTTGTCTTTTATCCAATCCGAGGCATATTGACATTCATTACACAAATCCAGTAGAGTTGAGTCATCAACAATTCGTTCTTTAACCGCTTCCATATTGTCCGCAAGACGATTCCAGGCAAGATTCAGATGATCTTGCATACTGACCACGCGTTCAACTGTTGACTCATCATTCAATAGGGAATTTCGATCGGTTTGTGGACCTTCCAACAAGCCGGTGGCAAGACGGTTGATACAAGACACCTAGAAATTGACGGAAATAAAATCAAGTTGGCTTCTTCTTCGAAACTCAAGCATACACACCCATGGACGAGTGTGAGGTGGGAACAGAAAATATAAAGTTATTTTGGGGCTAAGAGCTAATCGAAATAAATATCAGAATACTGATTGAACGGTTTTGTCATTGCGAAACAGTCCGTAAACATGCCAATTTGGATCATCGGTAAAATAATTGGGTTTGTCCGTGAAAGACTTATTCATTTAAATGGAGTAGGGAGCAACGATAATCATTGTAGTACATTTATGCATAAGTATTTCGCCCAGTAGTGGAGTAGACCACAGCCGAGATGTGAGCAGGACCTTTATTGTTATGGCGAGGGTGTCGACAACAATATGATACTTGGTAATTGAATGCGTGCGAACATTTCCGAGAGGGTAAAAACAATGAAACAGCCCATTTTTCTCAAATATTCTCATTTACTTTATTTCAGGCTATACGGGTGACAAATCAGAACAACTGTTTAAGTAGTTCGCTTGGTTTTACTCTAGTTGTTTGTGGATAAAGGAATGTGGAATTTATGGTTTAACGTTTAGCATATTGGACAATCATGTTCTTTAAGGATGGCCTATCTGAAACCTCGCACTATTCGGCAGTAGTGGCAGTGCTTTCGGGCAGTATGTATATCATCATTTTATTACCAATCTCTGAACCCGGTACCAAGGTCACATGACGTACAATTGTCGATCTGTGTTAATATTGCGGGAGATTAAAAACCAGGCGTGGTTGCGTTATCGCTAGCTGTTGAAAATACAAAAACCAAAACAATTACTTTCATCGACTCAGAAATAGTGGACACTTTAGGAGAATGATGCCGGTCCATAATTCAATGTAATACAGCAAGGTAAATATTGGTCTTTCATTCTGACAGAACGATTGTTACGGAGCACATACTACTTGTAGACTGATTATTTTTGGTTCAATTTATTCAGCTTATTATGCCACACATTTCATTCCGATTGATTCGACAAATGAAGCGGTTTATAGATGTTGCCATGATGTGATGAGGATTGAAAAACGTTTTTGAAACCGTTTCATTCTTGGTATGAATGAAAGAAACGGTAGGGTTCAACTGTCACTCAGATAAGTGAAAACCCAAGTAATTGACAGTGCATTTCTGTTGAGAAATAACAATATTTTCCTTCAAGTTCTGTTTCAGCCGATTTGGCAAAACATGATTGAGCTAGGACGATTACTCATATCCCTAAATATATTTGGCATTTGGTGCACGGTGTACGACGCAGATCTGATTATGTTATGTTATGTTATGGTATGTTACCTGTTGTTCGCATACGTAATCTGACGTACTTTGGACAAAATGACATTATGCAACTATATATCCTCATACCTTATCGCTTTGTAAAAAGTTGATGGTACCCATCATAACTTTTCGGTAAAGCAAACAAAACGGCAATTCTATTCATTATAATGTTTTCGATATAACCGATCCGAAATACTACAATTAACACTGAACAGAACGGGGAAAACTCGCAGTTTACTCACCTGCTCTGCAGTTTTGCTCATTTGCATCTGAAGCATGACAAATCGCCGTTTGACAACCTCCATCTTCTCTTGCATCAGACTCCAATAGCCTGGTTGTTCACCCTGTAGGGCTAATGTGTGCACATCCTGTAGCTCTTCAATCACATGCGCTCGCAAATATTCTCGTTTCTCTGTGATCCAGTTATACGTTCCACTGGCCATTCGAAATAGTTGATGCAAAGAGAGCACATCTAGCAATGCGGTTTGCGTGTGACAAATCTCTTCTGTGAGCTCTTTATACAAATCACCAATCAGTTGCAACTTCTGGTCTACACTCGTCTTCACTTGCTCGCGACTTTCACAACCAGCCACGATTTGACTAGGTCTTGACCCGGTAACTGCAAAAAGCTGATCGTCTGCCTGATCAATCAGATCTTCCCCGCTAGATTTCAGCTGGTCGACCACAGAAGCAAAACTTTCCACAGCAGCGATCGTTTCTTGATGTCGCTTCAACAGACATTCTATCAAACTCAGGCTGTCATTTTGTACTCCACGTTGTAACACACTGGCACTGAGTTCCAGTTTCTCACGAATCCACGACTCTGTATCATCACAACTGACTAAAAAGTACTGATAATCACGAACAAACATCAGTGTCTTTTTTCGGGCCACAGTCTCTTCAATCAGTTCTTCCCATGCTTCTTTCACTTCCATGACCCGATCAACCACAGGTTCGAGTTCAGGGAACTTCTGGTCGGCCAGAAATGATGCTTTCTCAAACGTGAGATTTAGTGCAATACGTCGATTTTCCAGTTCAATCTCCAAGGCGCGATGACGCCGAAATAGACCGTCGACAAATCCGTTGTTTGGTATCTCTCTCACCTTCCTCATATAGTCTAAACGTTCGCGTATATAATAATGCTGTTCGTCAAGTTCCGCAAACACTTCCCAACGTGCCTTTGACAACTCAAGTGCGTACCGACGAGCTTCTGCACTGGCTACCAGTCGTGAATACGCATCTCGTACCGCTTGCTCGCGCTGCTTACCAAGTTCAGCTGCCGAACCTGTAATATACGTGTCACCCTCAAGCAAACGCAATGACTGTGACATACTTCGATGAATCGATCGTATATCTGTTTCTAACAATTCATGGCGTTGCAGTAACTCCTCCACGGCAGACAGATGAGCTCCACAGTCATCCGTGTCCAACTGCTTCTGAAGTGAACTAATGATGGTACTCAAGTGATCTAACTCAGAGAACTGTTTAAAGTAACTATGCTTTGCATCTAATCGACCAAAACGCTCTCGCATCAGATTTAAAAGTCGAGCCCAAAGCTTTTCAATATGATCTCTAGTGGCCAGAACCTCCTTGATATTATAAAAGTTACTTCTATCCAACTCATCGGCAATTTGACCCACAGTCTGAATTCTGTCCGCATACGAGCACACGTCTGTTTCCAAAGCCTCGTGTTTCTTTAGTGCAGCCTCGACCATGAGCAAATCTTCCGCGTAATCCGGTTGTTGTAACAGCTTCTGATTGTCCAAAATCCATGCCTCTCTTAGTTTTGCCTTGCGCTGAAAGCGATTATACAAATGTTCCAATCGTCGTTGAAGTACCAGCTCATCACGCAGAGCCAATTCGCGGGCATGTTCCGACTTCTCCAAACGTTGCCATGCACTGTTCACCTGAGCCACCTGTAATCCATTCGTAGGTTTGTACACCCGCATATTGACCGCACGCATTTTGGTCTGCAATGTGAACAGACTAATTTCAATATTGCCTTTCTCGAAAAATTTGTCCGGCTTCTCTTTCAGTCGATAGTCATTGAATTCGACCAACAGCTGCTGCAGGTCCGCGACGCGCGGAGGAAAATCCCGGCTATCCAACCAGGCAATTTTTTGTCGGATCCAGGCAAGCAACGCACTGGTATCTTTTTCATACAAACAGGCCTGATCATGCACATCTTGCAAATAATGCAAAAAATTTGTCACTCGTCTCGCGTGAACTGTCTCCGCCTTAATCTTTGAAAAATAGTGATAATAGGTGACAACATAAGTGATGATTGATTTCTCATCCGGGTTTTCCACATAAATATCCTCTGGATCAAATAGTCTGGTGATACCCAAGCGTTTTTCGGCCACAATAAATGCTGATTCCAGATTTTGTAGTGGTGTGTGAGGCGAGAGTGCACTGAAGTTGATCAGATCCGGTCGGTGTTTGTGAATCAGGGCGTTAAATGCCAAACCATCACGCCAACTTGTCGTGAAATTCTGCACGTCCACGTTCGGATAGCCGGCGGTTTTCATCTGGCACCAAAGCAGCAATGCATCCTTTGAGTATCGTTTCATTCGACTCCGTGCACCCAACCCGTCCACGGTGGTCGTGGATATTGCAATGTCTTGGATTTGAAATCGTAAAATGATGGTCCACAAGAGACCGAGCGTGATTCGTGCGTTCCCATCCACAATATCATGCGCGCCCACATTTTCCAGATGAACATTCAAGCTACTAAGAAAATACAACGATTTATCCACGTTTTCCAAGCAGTGAATTCGCATTCTTCCCAATGTTGGCGGGGGCTAAATGAGAAAAAATACGAGTAATATTAGCATAGCCAACGGAATAACAAATTTACCATCGGTTCACCGGACAGAATCTCCAATAGCTTGAGCAAAATTTTTCCATCACGAAGGTCAATGAACAGATCGCTGACCTCTAATCCTATTCGTCGCAAATACGTGTTGGCCCATTTTGTGAAGGTCTTTTTCTGTACAGTCTCTCGCTCAACTAAAATGTAAAGAAAACAGGTAGATTAAAATTTGAAATCGAATTTGTAGGCAAAGCGTCATCCCACGGCGACTTGTTGAAAGGATCTAGTCTAGCTGAAACGCTCTAACTTCTATTTTTGACTTACTGCAATTTTTATATTACGTGAACTTCTGTGCAAATGAAAAGAAAAGCAATTTGATTGCATTTTCACGCATGAAAACTTCTCTTCAATACAAAACACAAATGTCGAAGTTCCACTGTTCTGATTACATTAAAACAGGTGTTGAAAAGATGGTGTCTAAGGATTA